CCCCCCCCGCTCAGAGCTTCCAGAAGGAACCAACCCTGCCAGCATCTTGATTTTTGACTTCTGGCCTCATAAACTAGGACCGGATAAACTAATGCGCCTTAAGCCACAGTTTGTGGCTGTCTGCTAGGCAGGCCTAGGAAATGAATACACCTCCCTCTGAAAGGCAGAGAGCTCCCTCTCACAGTCACCTCCCCCAGTGTGCCTCCCAGGTATGAAGCACACGCACATGGCCCTGCGAGGCCCTGCATCTTCAATTTATGGATGAGGAACCTGAGGCTGGGCGCTGTCGGGGTGGTTTACGCAGGTGCCCAAGACCCCGTAAGCAGGAAACAACAGGGCAGGAATCTGGGCGCGGGCCGGGTTGGGTCCAGAGCCAGTTTCTTCACTGCGGTTCAGTCTCCGCTAAGCACAGTTGTCCCCGCTCCCTATCAGGGGTGCCTACGCCCCGAGCATCTGCAGGAAGTTCTGCTGGCCCAAGCTACTGATTGGGCCCCAAGTCATAAGGCAGCGTGAGCAGCCAGTGGCTTCCCGGCGCCAGAGCCGTGAGGCCTCCCCACTACTGCATGGGAAGCAGCTCCTGGAGACAAACATGTCAGGGACAACTTTCCTCCCCTGGGTGGGAGCAGGTTTATGCGCGAGAGCTGGGCCACCCGAAGCCAGAGGCCAGCCCCAGCCCCAGAGGAGAGGGGGGTCCCCTCCCAACCTTAGCTCCAGAGCCCCGCGGGGGGCGAGGGGTGAGCCTCACCTCTACGATGCTGCGCAGGTCCTGCACGTACGTGCGCTCCGTTTCCACGATTTCCCGCACTACTCGACCCACGTAGCTGAGCTTGTGCACAGGCGCCACCGACGCCCGGCTGTTGAAAGGGGACAGGGAGCCCCTCATGCTCAGCCAGCTGCTGGAGTTGTTGTTGGGGAGACGCCGGCCACGCGGGGAGCCGGCCCCGTTCTCGGCCGAAGCCTCGGAGCCGCTGGGCTCCTCCATGGCCCCGCGGCTGTCACGGGAGGAGCCTGACGAAGAGGTGGTGGAGGTCAGGCTCACGGGCCGCTCCTGGCTGCCATCTTGGTGGAGCGAGGCAGAGACGGGCATCCTTGCATTGCTGCCTGGTGGGGGCGCTCCAGGGAGGTTCTGGGCGGGACAGACAAAGGGCAAACCTCTGGAATCCTTGCAGAAACAGAAAGTAAAAGGGTGGCTGCCAGGGGCTGGGGGAGGAGGGAATGGGGAGTTACTGTTCAATGGATACAGAGTTTCAGTTTTGCAAGATAATCAAAGTTCTAATGGCTGGAGGCGATGGATGCACAACAATGGGAATGTACTTAATACCTCTGAACACTTAAAAATGAGAATTTTATGTTATATGTATTTTACCACAATTATAAAAGCAACAGCTCGGAATCTCAAGGAGGCCCCTGCCTTCAGACTGTATGAGCATCTGCAAGGATGCCCAAGTGACATTCCTGCCTGACTGCAACAGCTCCACCTCCGTCTTTCCCACGGTGGACCACATCCAGTAACAATAAAGGGCTCAGAAAGCTGAGGCCCCAGAAAAGCAGAGAGGGCATCTCTGCCAGAGCAACGGTCCAGGGTGCCTTGTGATGGAATCTGAAGCCCAGTGCCTCTGCTCCAGCAAAGTACCGAGCTTCCCAGAGCCTCAGCTCCTCGCCACCTACCCCGGGGCCGTGCCCCCGAAGATACAGTGACCTGCTGGATGTACAGCTCTGAGCCTGATGCCCAGCACAGAGCAACGGCTCCATAAACCATCAAAACAGTGATAATAATGGCAGTTGTCAAAAAGCACATCCCAAGTGTCCATCTGTCAAGGATCCGGCTCTTAACAATCGACGTGCCAGAGGGTAAGATGCTCCCCAGGATCGCAGAATCTCTGGGCCCACCAGGGGCTTCACCATGAACCTGAAACCTTCTGGATACTGACGGAGAAGGCAGAGGAGATGATACAAAGGCTGAACCCACATTACACCCCCTGCCTCCAGCTCCAGCCCCCTGTACAGGTCCCTGACTCACCCTGGCTCCAGGGGCATAGGAAATTCCCCAGGGCTGAGCCACCGGTGAGTCTCCCTAAGTTCCCTTCAGCACACCTAGATCTAGATCAGGGCAGCACAGCAAGCAGGAAACTGTTCCCAGGTGAGGCAAACATAGCCTCAGGTGGACTTTATTCCCTAAGCAGATGGTGTGGCTCACAGGTAGGCCAGCCTGGAGCAGCAAGTCTGTGGAGGTGGGGTGGTGGCTGTGGGCTTTGGGAAGGTCAAGGACACTCCAACCCCATGCCAGAGCACCAGAGCTCACCAACACCACTTTCCAGAATGTTCATTTGATTGCTGTTTCCATAGGAAAAATGTTCTAGAGCATCCCTCTCACCTCAACTGCCCCAAAGACTTCCACTTCTAGTTCTAAGGATCAGAAGCTACTAGATCACAGGCTAGAGCTATGAGGAGAAGGGTCTAGAAGGTACCATCACTCTGGCAGCCTTGAATTTTCCCCCTGGTTTTCTGTGCCTGTGCCCCAACCTGGAACCAGTGTCCCTACCTGTGCCAGCACCCTTGGGCTCTGGCTTTGGCAAATGTTCTCTCTGCCTGGCCATTACTTCCTCCCCATCCACCCCATGCCATACGGCCCCCCAACCTGTGTCACTTATACCAACCCTTGGGTCTCAGAAGCCACCCCCCATACATCCCCAGAAACCAAACCTGAGGGCCCCTTCTATGTACTCTTACAGCACCCCAGGGGTACCCCTATTGTAGCACTCTCTGTGTGAGACCCCCTGCCCTAGGCTGTAAGTGACCTAAGGGCAGAGGCCTTAAAAGGTGATCTGGCAAATGGATAATGTACTACTACTAAGCTAAAGTCAGGAGCATTGAGACCTGTTTGCCATGCACACTAGCCCAGCAAGGACCCTCTCAAGCACAGCAATTTCTCACTGCATGTCTCAGCTGGGGGATGGGGTCACCTCCGAGGTGCTCTATGTGAGCCTCTCATTTTGCAGATGAGGACACAGTGGCAGCACTGGGACCAGTCCAGCGTTCTCCCTCCCTCCAGGTGCAATGAAAGGATTAATTAACAGGATCACCTCAGTGAAACTGAGTGTCTCAGAGGAGAGCCCCTTGGGAAATGCAGCACCACTGCTTTTTCCTACCTCCTCAAAAGAGCCTTTAAGATTAACCAGCTAGTCATTTCTACCCACCGGTGGCGTGTCATTTCAGCACAAAGAGAGACAAAGACCCAAACTCCACCCCAGCCCTTAACCCCAGCCCTGTGGGACTCTGGTGTCCTTCAAGGCACGTGCACTGTCAGGCACACCCCAGCCCCTCCACCCCTTCTCCCCCTCAGCCCCCCGGGCCTGTCAATCCCAACTAGAACAATGGGGATCAGTCAGCCCCTATGGGGATGCTAAACGTAAAAGGCCCAAGTCCCTAATGGATTTCACAGCTGGCCAGGTCACAGCCTTAAAGTGAAGGATTAGTCACAGCGCCCCCCCCCCCAACCAACCCCCCACACACACTCCCTCTCTCTCTCTCTCTCTCTCAGGGAGATTCATCTCTAAAGGGTACCTTCTGAGGGTCACTCTTTAGGGGCCCCATTGCCATAGGGTGCAACATAAGCACACTTCAAAAGCCCAGGAACTAGGGCTTCCTTGGTGGCGCAGTGGTTGAGAGTCCGCCTGCCGATGCAGGGGACACGGGTTCGTGGCCCGGTCTCGGGGTATCCCACATGCTGCGGAGCGGCTGGGCCCGTGAACCATGGCCGCCGAGCCTGCGCGTCCGGAGCCTGTGCTCCACAATGGGAGAGGCCACAACAGTGAGAGGCCCACGTACAACAAAAACAACAACAAAAAAGCCCAGGAACTATAACATCTTTTCTACTTGGAGAAATTTTCTCTGGTTGCACACAGACATCTGCCTGCAAACCAAGATCATGTTTTCAAAGTAGTGCCCATGCCCAAATCCTCCTGGGGTTAAAAGAAAGCATAATGACTAACAGCTAAAAATGTTCCAAGTGCTGTAGACATAACAAGACCTTTTTATCTCATAACATTTCTATGAGGTCAGTACTATTATTATCCCCATTTTACAGATGCAGAAACTGAGGCCACAGAAGTAGCATGCAGTAGAGCCTGGATTTGGACTCAGGCACTCAGGCATGCTCTCCTGCCCCTGACCGCTGCTGGCTGCCTCCCTGATGGATTTCACTCCAGCTAGAACCACAGCAAAGGATTAGTCACAGCCCTGGATGCCATGGCTTTGCCTCAGCATAAGCCACGGGGGACATATTAAGACATAAAGGTCAGGGCTTTTAACATGACATTTCACTTATCCCACAAAGGCCAATGGAGGTTAAAAAAAAAAAAGAGAGAGAGTTAAGATTCCTTAAGGCTATTTCTAGACCTCCTACTATGTGACATCTGCCCATTTACCCTTTCCTTGGAACAACATAGAAAAATACAAATTCCAGGTCAAAGGACTGCAGGTCATGGAGAAGGGAAGGAGCACAAGGGCATCGGGATCAGACTGTAACTGCTCGGATGATAACAGAAGCCCTACAGTGACCAGGAGACCTAGGATCACGAAGCGCTCTCTCTCTCTCTCTCTCTCTCTCTCTCTCTCTCTCTCTCTCTCTCAGAGAACACAGACACCCAGAAAGGGAGGGATGAACAGCAAATGGGGCAGTGAGAGCAGACAAGGCAGAGTCCAAGTGGGACTGTTAGCAGACACCATTACATACAGAGGGAAAAGAGACATCACACCTAATGTGAGCGCACTCTGGTCCTAAAAGCCCAATCCAACCATTACTGTGTGTGCAGTTCAGGCTCCCACAGAGACGGCGAAAGCACCGGCCCACGTGTTCCCGGGCAGAGGCAATCTTTCCTTCCTCACCACGGAGCATCACCCCATGTGGTAAGATTCACCCCAAAGCCAAGACTAAAACTCAGGTCTTCAAACTCATCTTGGAAGACACTGTCCGCTGGGGCAGTGCGCGCCTAGAGAAAGTTAACAGCAGCCAAACCCCAAGTCAGATGTCCACGCCCACCCCGTTCTGTCACACTAGTCTCCAGTTCCCTAAGTATCACTCCGCATGACCTCTTCCATCTTTCAACACAAATCAATACAGTCAATCATCAGTCAGTGAGTCAGTCTTCTAGAAAACTCTGTATCTCCCACACCTGGGAAGCTCTCTTTGATAGGGTCTTGTAAGACCTTTCTGATGGTCCCAATAAGCTGCTCAAACATGCACCTTTAAGGTTCGGGGCACAGGAGAGGAAGGGAGATCAGTTTCCTTTTTTTTTTTCAATAACTTTTTCTAAGTTTAATCCACACCCTTCCTCCACCCACATCTCTCCAGGTTATTGGCTCCACCAACGGGGACCTTCCCTGAACATCCCCGGGCAGGAACGCAAGCAGGCTGCAGCAGGCCCCTTGGATTCTCAGCACAGCTGACCGGGGCCAAGTCCCACATCCTCCTCCGCCCCGCGAGGCCTCAGCACCGTGCCCCCGATCTGACCTAGCCTCCTGCCTCCAGCAGAAAAAAATGACCATCCAAAAACCCCACCATAGCCCCCATGTTCTGTCTTCAGGCCTCTTGTCACTAAGGCAGTAGGACCCTGCTCCCTCAGCCCACCCCCAGCTTCAGAAAGAACGGTCCCAGAGGGGAACTCACCCGGAACCTTCCGGAGAACCTCTACTTCTCTGGTCCTAGGGAGTCCCCAGGACTCAGCAACACTCCCTTCCAGCCCTCCCTCGGGGGCTAGTGGGCTGAGAAGGCAGGAAACCGGGAGGAGGCTGTGCAGGCCGGCGCTCTGGAGATGCCCCTGAAAACATTTTGGTTCGGAGAGGCTGGGTCCAGGTGCGGAGGCGGCTGACGTCATCCTTTCACCTACCCCACTTTGCCCCACACCCGAGAGGCGGAGCGCCACACCTGCTCTGGAGGCGGGCGGGGACCGAGAGAGGGGTCTCCCCCAAAGGCAGCTGCTCCAAAGTCCAGGGAATCACCAGGTACTGGCAAGCGGGCCAAGTCCTTCCCTGCTCAGGGGGCTGCACGCTGCGCAGCCCTCCTTCCTGATCTTCTTTCATCTCCTA